TCATCATATTAACAGACAAATTCAATTAAAAATTTTTAAATTATTTTAGACTGTTTGAAACTCAGATCGGTAATAAAATTGGTAGATTTATCTGGTAGGTAGATTAATCTATTAAATATTTTTCTATTTTTTTCTTTGCGGCAAAACAGTCAATCTAGTAGTTCATAGAAATTAGTACAAAATTAATGAATCAAATTTCAATCAGTATGTTTTAAAAATATTAGCCCGCAAACAACAAAATCCTGGAGCATGTACCTTGTAAAAAAATCAAACTAATCTCATTTGTTTTATGAATTGATTTACGATCCAGGAATTATTCAACATTAATCATCCGAGCACATCAATCATAAAACAATTTTATGTCTTACTCGATTTTGTTAAAGTTTCATTACTTCTTCAGTTACGATTTAATTCATTAAGACTTACATATTAATTAATCAATTATCATTTCATAGCAAATTATTCCAAGTTAGTCACGCCATTTATATAATAGAATTAACTATCGTGATGATAGTTATTGCGTTAAAGTGCAAATAACATAAATAAAAAAATAATTAAGCCAGACAGTTCATTCTTGTGTGATCATTAGAATCGTAATACGGATTTTTTTGTGAATTACTAATAAGACATATTATTAAAAAGGAATTTCATTATGCTCCGAGATGTAATTGTTGGCATCGGTGTCAAAACAGACGTGAGAAATTCTCAGACTTCCATTGTTTGGGTAAATACTTCAGAAAGGAGCGCTCTGAGGCCATTACGAAGGAAAGAGGAAGAACAAGCCAATGTAAAACGAGATTTTCAAATAATAGACGAGATAAAATTACTTCTAGTTACGATTTAATTAATTAAATATGTTGGGCTCCCCGGTTAGAACTATGGAATAAAAGGTTCGATGCCGGCCTGATGTCAAGCAGCAGTTACAGCGATTATCACTTGTAAATATAGATACCAAGAGACAATTGTCATAGACACAAATTGTAGAGTTCCAATAATAAATTCATCACATAGAGTTTAAACTAGTGGGGTGTATGGCATCGTGCCTTAAGGCGAATTGCTGCAACTTCCCGTACCGTAACAAAATGTTCAAGGAATTTTGAATGTTTTCAAATAAATTCAAATAGATATTATAAATAAATATTGTAACATTGTCTAATATTTATAAGAATTATATAAACTGAATTGCAAAGTTGAAATTATTTGTTAAAAGTATATAAGAACTATAGTCAGAATTAAAAATAAAATTTGAATTATTTTCTATATACAAAAAAAATTTTTTTTGGAAAAAAAAAGTTGAAACAAAATTTTTTTTCCTAAATCAATTATTTTGTTAAGACAAGCAGAAAGTTCTTTGAATCATTTCAATCGGACGCTTAGTTCACTCAAAAATTGCCATTTTTTACACATTTAGCTCCGTATTTTCGAAATGGCTGGTCCTGCCTTTGCCAAAAACTAATTAACACTTCTCCCAATCTTTACTAATTGAATGTTTTTTAGATCATACAAATCGGATGCTCCGTTCACTCAAAAACTCGATTTCTATTTTCTGCACTCTTTGCTCTTTATCTCCGTAACTGCTCGACCTGCCTTTGCCAAAAACTAATCAGCACATCTCCCTATCAATAAGAATCGAAAGTTTTTTGAACCATTCAAATCGGTTGATCCGTACGCCCGAAAACGTGACTGAAAATTTGTATCCATACATACATACACACACACACATCCATTTTTTCTGAGGTATGCTTAAATGTTCAGAAACCTTCAAAACGTCGAGAAATGTAAAAAATTTCAATTTTTATTTTCGGCCCCAATAACTTACCACGGGAAGTTAACAAGTGTCGTTCAAGAAGTTAGAACAAACTGACTAGTATTAATCTAATTATAATTGAAAAATTGAATCCTTTATATGCTTTTTCTTGAACAAATTGCTAAAAAATATTTCTTGACTTTTATGCTTGTATATTTGGTCTTCATTTGTATGAAGGTAATAAAAAATGAAAACAATTGTATATCGTAATACAAATAAACGGACAGAAGAGCCAAATGGTCATCGAATATGCAAAAGATCAAAATCGGAATCGGATCAGAACAGAAATTCTGGGAGAACTAAAAAAATCCTACTTCAAAAAAGCGTTTAGATATTGAAATATTTCCATTAATATTTACCATTTAATTCCAATTTAAAAAGGCAAAAACAATCATCAACATATCCGTGATCCGTGTCACTAATTAACAGAACATAAGAATATTTTGTCCAATTTTTCTCGAGTTTGCTTTATAGCTTCACACCTTCTCGTTAAACCGCACGCCTATAACTTCCTCTTTCGTGAGTTCGTACAATGAGAAATAAAAAGTTTGGTCGTAATTTACCTGTAATAGGCAAAACGTTAATTGGAATGTTTTTGTGTACAGTAAAATTCAATGACCCGTCGAAATAGCGGTTTTTGATATATTTAGTGTACACAGTTACACAAGACGAAACATTATTAGCCAAGGCGGGGAGGTGGAGTCGCTCGCCTATCTTTCCTAATTTTATATGCAAATATGAACTATGTGAGTTATTTATTGTTCTAATAATTAACACTTTATGAACTTATAGCCATTTTTTGCAAGGACATCGTGAACTCAATATAAAGACGTTTTTTCACTTGTATTATTGATGCTGAATCGATGTGTATAATAAACAATGCTCAAAAACTCTGTTATTACGTTTTTAAAAGAAACATGTTGGTTCACGGGTAGCACAACTTTGAGAATCAAGCATCAAAAATGTTTTATTTTTCATAACTTTATCTTTTTTGCACATTTATTTTAAAGCACATTCACCAATAACTAAGTGCCATGTTCAATATATTTGATTTTATTTTTTCTAATTTATCAACTTAATTTTTCTTTCCATAGTCGTATACTATTTTTTTCTTATTTTTGAGCAGCCTCCTAAACTTTGCTTTTTTAGAAGACCTCTTAACGCTTGGTCCATAAATTAATCAACTTCGTTTTTCTTTCCATAGTCGTATACCATTTTTGACTTATTTTTGAGCAGCAAACAGAATTTAACAGTTTTTGTGCTTTTGTGATAAAACAGTTGGTCCATCAATATTTGATCTTTATTTATTATTAGATTTTCTCTAATTCAGATAATATAGTTTTAATTTGATGTAGCAAAGCTGAATCATATTTTGATCTATATTTTAAATTGGAAATAGATATCACCACTGATATCTTGGTAGTCCGTGATAGGTATCGGATTTGGAACCTTCTGATTGCAAGTCCAAAGCTCTTACCACCAGATTACGGAGAAGCGCCTGTCATAAATTTTGTTAACAATATTCAATATTTTGAATTTTTCATTTAATAATGAATAAGTGTATAATCACTGAAATAGCACAGGCCTTAAATGGTTATTAGATATACTGTACTTCAGTAACAAAATATTTGGAAGTAATTAAGTTTAACGATAGGTAGAAAATAAAATAGCATTTATTACTGATCGTTCTATATTAGCAAAAACCGTTTAACCCTCCGTCGGTCGGATATTTTTTCACCTTCGAACGGTCGGAAAGGTCTGGCTGGACCACCATTCATTTTACATGCATTTATATGGGATAAATGAGTTTTTGGTGTCTTATGTATTAACGATTATATAAAAAAATTAAGAAATATAAAAAAATCGTTGCTTTTTTTGTTAATTTTTCTGTTTTAAATCAATGAAAAACAATATATATTCTTTTTCGACGCCTTTGAAATGAATGTGTGCATTACTAATCCGGTTTTCAGTGTTTGCGATTACCAATAAGTTTGGTAGGTTTTCAAGGAACTCTCGTCATGAAAATACTAACATTCATGGTAGAACATATAGCAAAGAATATAAACAACGCAGTTTGAATAGAAAATACCATGAAAAAAGACAAAATACTGGTTTACATATATCAAAAAGCGTATATTTCATACAAAATGTATGGGTGGTCTAGACAGACCTTTCCGACCGTTCGAAGTATAAAAAAGTTAATATCCTTATAATTATCCTTCTGTACATTTTTTCGTCCTGATTTTTTCATTGATCGACAGCTAATGAAATTTTAGAAAAAGTCAAGAAATTTCAAGTCGATAGGATTACTAGAAGTATTTTTGTTTTTTAATTGAAGTCGAAAAAAGTCTGGCCAGACCACGCCGACCGACGGAGGGTTAAAGCTTTGCAAAACTTCATCCAAGCTCGTTTAAATTCCTTGAGCTTGAGCTTCACATTAAAATACCTCAAACATTTAGGCCAGTGTTTAATTAATTACAGCAAATTATATAGCACTTAAATAATTAAATACATATCATATATGGTCATACCATTTAAAATACGTATTTTATCATATTTTTTATGCAAATCTCCGTTCATTAAATCTCTGTGATGTACCGCACGCAAGATGCCTCACGCGTTGAATCAAGTTTATAATCGGTCGCTATTATAACCATATAGTTTTTGATAGAAGCACTTAAGATGTTAAGATTGAAAAACTAGATTTTATAGAACATAACTGTCTATTAATAATATGGGAATAACTTAATTTACATTTTATAGCAATTCCCACATTATGAAGCAGTCTAATCCAAAGCTATGGTAATTTGATCTAAACAAAATATTATGATTTTTTTTAGAACTTGTTTGGATTTAATTAAAAATTGTTCCCATTCATTTTTTTTTAATTTTTATACCGTTAAGAATATTTAAATATGGAGCTAGCAAAATTTAATGGCTTATTTAATTGATATAAATAGGTGTTTGATATCTAATATAAAAACACAACAAAGAACGCGAAAAGGTTGACGACTACTTGTTTTGGAAAATCACTTTGTATTTAATTATGTTTCTTGATTAATTTCTTCAATTAGTTAAGTATTGTTTCAAATAATTCTGAAATTTATCTATATTTTACTTACTAGAATAGCAAAGATCAACGTGATCATCTTAGTAACTATAACAATTAATTTGATTTTATCTTTGTCCACAGATCCTTCAAGATGCTCCACAAAAGGAAAGTGCTTCTAGCCCTGTTCTGCGTCTTAAGCATAGTTGCAGGCCTCGGGGGTGATGATAAATTTCTGAAGAAATATGCCATGATGAAGGTATAATCGAATATACAATTAGTGATATAAACTAATCACGTTTCAAAAAAAATCAATGAAAATATTACAGAGATATAACAACTTGGCCATTTTGGGATACTGGGCAAACTATTATTATAGTATGAAAAGCTGTGTTCCGAGATAATAATATTTAATCATTTTTAATTATTCATCGTTGTTAACATACTTGTTAACTTCCCGTAGGGCAAGTTATAGTAATCGCAAAAAAATCGAAAATGAACATGTTTATATATCATTACGTTTCAACGGTTTCTGAATATTTTTGCATACCTTAGAAAAAGTGGATGTATGTGCGTGTGTGTGTATGTGTGTGTTTGTGTGTGTGCGGATACAAATTTTCGTCAACAATTTCGGGAACACCGATCAACCGATTTGAATAATTCAAAAAATATTCGATTCGTATTGATGAAGAGACGTGCTGATTAGTTTTTGGCAAAGGCAGGTCCAGCCGTTCCAAAGATACGAGGCAAAAAGTGCCAAAAATGGTAACTCAGTTTTTAGAAGAACGGAGTGTTCGATTTGAATAATACAAAAAGCATTTTACTCGTATTGACAAGATAAAGAATTGATCCAATTTTGATGAAGGTTTCGGAGATCTAATGAAAAAAGTAAAAAAAATGCCATTTGGCGGTCAAAAATGAACATTAGACATATGCACATCAAATTATAAGATATTTTATAGAGATTTTAACAATAAGTATAAATTTTGTTTACATTCCTATGATGACCACCATTTGTGAAAAAACTTTATAATTTTTGTGTGGACTATTCCTTTCCGACAATCATGGATAAAATAGTATTTATACGTTTTCATTTTATTTATCTGATTAAAGTCAATTTTCTTGAAAAAACGTTTCTAAAAATAATATGAACATTAAGGATTTTGATGCCAGCTTTCTTGTCAAATTAATGCATTTTTATAGATTTTTATACTTACTCATTTGTAGAATTTTCTTCAGAATTTGAAAAGTAGATTAGAATTTACTTTACTTTAAAATCGAAAATTTAAAAAAGCTCGTTACAAAAATGCTATATGTAATCCCTATTCATATATATTATTATTACTTGTACTTTTTTAATGGTGGGAGCAATTGCGCATAATTTTCTCTAAATACAATCATTTAGCAAAATTTGCCGGATGATCCATTCCACGGTCCACACATTCAGGAGTTTGATAATCAATAATCCGTTTTTTCAAATTTGCCAGTGAGATGATCTAGTAGTATAGTATAGTCTAGTGACTATAACCATATCTCAGGAATCTGTAACGCTGTAATATATTATTGCAGTTTGAAATCAGTTTCTCTTATACATTATACGCCATTATTTGGTTTTGGTTTTTTATATCATTGATATTCACATCCGTCATCATGTACCATCATTTTTTGGTTTAATTTGTAATTTTGGACTTAGTTTAGAATTCCTTGATTCCAGATTTATGAAAGCTGTTTCGGTCCTGAAGTAATCAAGCAAGTCCGAGCTGAAATGAAAGCAGCCTGCGCCAAATGTGCTCCAGCTTCAATTCCATCATCAACTCCGGATTTATCAATGTTCCAAACAAATCAACTGAAATTGCATAGCTCATCGGCGCCGAGCATGGATTCACAGCAAGAAGAACAATCGAGACCGATTCAACCAAACATAGACCAAGAGAAATTGCAACAGGCTATTATGTCTTTCAAACAGGTAATAAACAATTGTAATAAGTTTTTATAAGGTTGTAATGCCATGTATTGAAATAAGAATGAAAAGAAAATTGAATGAAACCTAAGAAATATTTAATTTGTTATCCCATTTCAAAGGGTTTCGTTCGCTGATTTTTTTTTGAAATTTTGAATGCATGCGCAAAATTAAATACAATAGATAAAGGATAGCAATAATAATGTAATGTTGTGCATAATATTGTCGTAAATTTTGATTACGTAATTCTTCCAATAAGGGGCCGTTCAAGTATTACGTAAGCACTATAGGGGGGCTGGGGGTATTGATTTGCTTATTTTTGGTGATGTTTTGGTGACAGCTTTGCTTACTTTTGCTGACAAAGGGGGATGGGGGGAGGGGGTAAATAATTGTACTAAATCTGCTTACGTAATACTTGAACGATCCCTAAGACTATCAAAGTCTAATGCAAATATTTAATTTTTAGCAAAGTCCATTGTTCCAAGCCCAGATGCAAAACAATATGCAAAGGCCCCAACATTATCCAAGTCCTTTGCCTTTGTATCATCACAGCCCATGGGGCGCTCCTCTATATGCACCACAACCGTGGTCAGGACCTATTCCAGCTCCATTCGCAAGTCCGTACTCAGCTCAACCGATTCCTGGACCTCAATACTACCCGCAGGCATATTATCCAGGAGCCGGCAGGATTTCGGTATATTTTAATAATATCATATTACATTTTAAGTATTATTGACAATAAGAAAATTAACAATTTGAATTAAATAAATCAATCTACATAAAAAAGTCAATAAAAAAAAGTAAAGCCAAACACTGCGCCTAACTTCCATCGACAAGCGTAACGCAAATGTGAAGAGATATTGAAACAAACAGATAGCAGCAACATTTTAGGTTTCTTATATTATGATAATGATAATTATCATTTTCATAATATAAGAAACTTATATCAATATTATAAAAAATGATAATGATAATTTTTGTTTTGAAATCTGTGTTTACAGGTCCATAATACAAATTTGCAAATTTCTTTAATGCATTTAGATCAGACTATATTTCTAGTTCTATGCGAATATCTCGCCTACAGAAAAGAGTATTGAAATAAAAGTTTTTGTCATTATTTTAGCCTGAATAACAATTTATCTAATTATCTAAATGGCAGAACATCTAACTCATCATGCCCTAGATTCCGAGTAATTGTCAAAACAATCATTTTTGTTGATCATTTTCAAGTACTGAAAAACTTCCAAGTCGAATAATTCAGAAAGTGATGGAACTAAATTAAGAAAAGTTCTATAGCAGATTCCTAACTTCATAATAAAGAGACTGTGATTATCAGCTCAATCAGAGCGAATAAAACTTTTTATGAAGTTTGCAAAATTTTTTAGTGCCTTTGATCGGGCACATAAATAAATACGATAAACTTATAGCAATAAACATTCCTTTAACTTTCAATTAACTTAAGGGGGTATTCTAGTGTAGAGCGATGAATTTTAGGTCATTTTTAACGTATCGTAAAAGAAAGCAATGAATGTTTTTTACTATCTATTTTTTACCACTTGTTTATTAATATTATTAAAATACAAAACAAAAATTAAAAAATAAAGTTGAAAATTGTAAAAACTGGCAGCTGATGAAGTGGGCGGTCTCAAAAAATTGGCACCTTAGTCTTGACATGATTTCAGCCCTCCTAGCCATCGGAAATGCAAAAAAGAAAAAGATTATTAATCTACTAAATTTTTTTTACAAATTGGCGACTGTTTGCAAAAAAATGTTTTTTCACTGTTTTTTTGAGTTTCTTGAATTTTTTAAAAATAGTAAAAATTGGAATTTGGTGATAATCCTAGTTCGGGCTATAGATAGATCTATAAACAAGACTCTCTGAACATTTCAAGTGAATCGGTTGATTAAAACTCGAGAAATCGTGTCAACAGTACTGAAAAAGTCTGTTCTGATTGTGAGAAAAAAGTAATTAAAGTTTTGCATGAAGCCAAACCAGTATGGAGACCGAGTCAGTAAAATGCCTATATCTCCGAAAATAATTCAAATTTACAAAAACCTTCTCGTACCCATATTCATATTTAGATATAGATAAAGTTTTTAAATTTTTGATATAATATGAATTCAAAAATCTGTTATGACTTGAATTTAAGTAAGATTATTAGTCTCAATAGTTTTGAAAAACCATCAAATTGAAGATTAAATACCAAAGTCAACTTTTAGTTGAAAGTAGACCGACACAAAAAATTCCAGTATTGATATTCAAAAAAATGCTCTAGAACATTAAGATAATGTAAATCTTTGTGTGATGAATGTATGAGAGAACCCAAGCAATGTAATAAATCATCGAACATGTTTGATATTACACTTTCTTACCAACCTCCAGAAGCTGTAAATGCATTTTTTACGAATGTGTAATTGAAATTTAAACAAATGCTCTTATCTTTTTCATAGATAGTTAAACTTTGAAAATATGAAATAAAAAAAATCGATTTTTTTGAACTTCTACACTAGAATACCCGCTTAAGCACAATACAATAAACTTTCAATTCCTTTGATAAAGAAACAACTTACTTAAAGGATAAATGGCTTGTTAATTTTTCTACTTCAATATCGAACTAATTTCAAAAATAAATAATTGCCGAATAAACAATATAAAATCTTAATTATTTATCAATTTTCATGAAGAGAATAATGAATCAACTGAGCGATTACAAATAATTCAAATAAATCGTAAAATAAATGATTTTTTTATCTAAATTTAGTACAGATCTTCGAATTATATTATCACCAGATAAATTATAAAAATTCCTTAATGGTTTATCAAAAAACTGAAGAGTATAATGAATCAACAAGGTCATTACAAATAACATAAATAAATTGTTATTTATACTATGTCAGTAGTAAATGACCAAAAGCTATCGTCAAGTTAGAGTAAAAATAAATTCTAAGATGATTCTTAATATATTATAATAATTGATTAAATACTGGTTTTTATCATCAATTAATTTGAAAATTAGCAAGAATCCACCATTATATACTTATTCAATTATTTTACCTTATTTGCGCTAGATTAGAGCAACCGTTCTAATACTTTCTTCCCCAGCGCGATATGGACTACCGCGATAGACAACACGAAGTTCTTGCGGCGTCCCGGGTTGCGCAATCGGCTGCCGTCAGCGCAGGAGCACATAATATTACTTGTGTCATGCAAGAATTAGGCTACTTGGATGAAAATTTGGAACCAAATGTTGAAAAGATTGCACGTCGCATATCAGGATTGCCTGTGCACAGGGACCTCAAGGAAGATATGCTAGAAGGACTCGACTATTGTCAGAAATTCTCGGTAATAATAATAAGAAATATTTGTAAGAAGCATTTTGCTGTAAGGCAAGTTGCTTCTTACAACTAGTTAGAGATCATCTTAAACGTTAAGGCAAGTTAGAGATCATCTTAAACGATATCAGCTTAATCAAGATTCAGCCGTTGAAGTAAATGTTCAACTGCTTTCAATTTCACTAAAAATTAATCAATGCGATTTTCAAATGATGACTTTCAAACATACCTACTTATAATATATGTAATTATATAAATTAAATTAATTTGTTTAACAAATCTCATTTCATAAACTTCTGATTCGTATAATTTTATTTAAGTGTCAACGTAAACTGTAATCAGTAGTACCTACAGTACACAGAACCTACATAAGCATGCGAAAAGCATAGATTCTCCTTAAAATCGCATAAGCGCGCGAGACGATATTCTAAACTTGGGCGAATTTTTATAATTTAAATGCTTAAATAAAGACCTATAATATTTTAGTGTGTTGTTTCAGACTATGAAATCTATCATCATACAAAGTTTCATCAAAATCGCAAAAAAAAATTCAACATCAAATTATGAATTTAGGCATAGATTCTCATTAGAATCCCTCAAGCCTGCAGCAAAGTTTTAAACGTCGGCAAATTTTTATAATTCAACCGCTTACCGTAGGCCTATAATATTTTAGAATGTTGCTTCAGGCTATGAAATCTCTCGTTATACAAAGTTTCATCAAAATCGAAAAAAATTCAACATCAAATTATGAATTTTAGGCACAGATTCTCATTAGAATCCCTCAAGGCCGCGGCGAAGTTCTAACCTTTGGCGAATTTTTATAAATCAACCGCTTGCAGTAGGCCTATAATATTTTAGTATGTTGCTTCAGACTATGAATGCTATCATTATACAAAGTTTCATCAAAATCGTTCAGAAATTTTTTTTGAACATTTAATTACGAAGAAACGGCTCGGCCGATCTTTACCAAAAAGTAATCAACGCGATACCCGACCAATATCTTTAGAACAGATTTTAAATTTTTAAAATCGGTTCAAGATTGTGGGCTAAAACGTGGACAACAAATTTTACTTTTCTGCAAATTACAAAGAAACGGCTTGGCCGATCATCACATAAAACTGGCAAACGCTAGTACTTATCGAGTTACATCAAATGGATTTTAAATTTTATAAATCGGTCCAGCCTTCTTTGAGAAAACATTGACGAGAGGTAAAAAATCGGCTCATATTCACACACGCACAGGACACATTCATTTTCCAAATTTTGTGTCACTCGATTCAGAATGACTTGAAACGTCGAGAAATCATAAAATTAGCAAATCAAATTTTTAAGCGAAAATAAACTGTCGGTAAGTTAGTATTTACGTTCTCTGCCCGAAGGCTTAAAATCTCGGTTTGGCATTAAATTTTTTATGATAGATTTGGAATCAAATTTGATATCACAATGATTTCTATGTAAAGCGACTGCCTAAGCTTAGATAATTGTACAACTAACAATAGATATTTGAACATATTTCTTCAATTTGGTAAAAACATTGAAATTTGTTCTTTTTCCAAAGCATTTAGTACAAAAGCAGATCCATTGCTAATTGCAAACTCGGTTCATTTAAGGATTTGACTTATGATTTGTATCATATTACTGCTAGAAGATATTCTATCGATTTTTCTTTATTTACAATTTTTAAATAATCGAATTTGTTGAATAAGATAATATTGTATATCGCATAGAAATTTTATAAAAGACAATTATAAATAAATAAATAAATTTAGATATTTCGTTTTAATAACGAACAATAGGTATAATAAGCAAAATAAACAAACAATAAAGCAAATATCAAATGTCAAAAATATAAATAACTTACATTTGCCGCAGCGACGATAGTATCTTCTCCCTTCACTTGACACTGTCACAACTTTTAAATTCATTTTTTAATATGTTTATTATATATTTTTTTCTAATCACTTTTATTTATATTTTTCAGCAATGCGTGCCGGAGACAAGACCTGACAAGTCGCCTCTTTCGCGTGAACTAATCAAACCAATGTTCTTCTTCAGATGTTATAAGGTACATTTTTGTTCTAACAATAAGTCACTGATACCAACCATCACTGACACCAAACATAATTCATAGGGTTGCTTTCACATATCAATGGTGCCAATATGCAAATAACATTTTCATATCCTGCGAAAAAACTTAAAAATATAATTATTTAAATCCAGAACTAAACCAATTCAGACAATAAATAATAATAAAAATGATTCCCAAATTTTGTCAAAATTTGGATATGCATACTTCAACATGTTGTAGGATTAATGTCTTACACTCGACATAATTCAATTAATATATCTAATAATTATAAGTTGACCTTATTTTATTATTTCTAGCACAAAAAATTGGAAGCATGCGTCATGAAAGACGTACGCGAAAGATTCAACACCGACGACAGTTTTGATGGAACTTCGAAGAAATGAGAAATGGCAGGAGTTTCAAATCTGATCCAGATGTCCATGTAGATCCAGAGATGTTGTTCGATTTCCTATACAGTGGTTCCAGTATGGATATGGATATGTTCTAATTAATAATACAATGCAATAATATTAAGTACAAACATCGAATCTCTGCTTGTTCCTAGGCTTTAAGAAATATGGATTATGTTAAAGCCTACTGAATGACACACAAATATATTTATATATCACATAAATTCAAAATATTTTTGAAACTGCTTTATGTTTTCTAAAAGATGTGATTATTGAATATATTTGATACTTTAGGAGCTTTAATTTTGAATGTATAATTATGTAGATTTTATTCTAGATAAGTTATTTTTACATTTAGACAATAAATATTTATTGTAACTTCTAATGTTATGAACACCTGCATAAGAAATAAATTATATTATTAAATAATAGTTATTTTATTAGTTATTATTTACTAACATTCAAGTAGGCTGATTGCTCAAAAATGATTATTATAAAATATTAAGAATTAAAACGTGCAATTAAAGTTCATATTTTATTAATTGGAATTCATAAAAATTCAAATATAAATTGATCATACATTTTGTCAATTAGTTTTAAATAAAAAGCATATACTCGTACAATAAAATTATTTGAAATTTCTTAGGTCTAACCTACGGCTTACATTTATAATATTTATTTTCCACATATCCTATTTTATAGTATATATACAATCACTTATGTTAGATTCAATCACAAATAAAACTTCATAGTCTCTTTAGAAAACTTTGAGATACTTTATATAATAAAATCATCGTTGTCTCTCGAATGATTGAAATTATTATTTGGCAATGCTACCACTTCAACTCGACCCGAGTTTAAAGAGTGATGACTTTGGGCATTAGATAAATTATTTGGATTCTGTTCCTGCATGAGAAATGAATCGGATTCGGCGAAGGAGCCGCTTAGATAAGGATTCATAACATTGTTACTGTGTAGCATGGGGATACTGCAATGAGAATCTTTGTCCCCATCTGCTGATTGGTATGACGGACTATCGCCACTATTTCTTATGCCATCTGAAGTAACATTAGCTAATCTATTATCATCATTATTTTCCCCACGCGGATAATTTCTATTATAACTTGATTCCCCTAAATCAGAAGATGGTCGACTAGAGAGGGCTGATTCTGAGGCTGACCGGCGAAACATATTATGAACACCTTCGGTGAATGTTCCATGATTATTAGCTACTGGATTTAACAGTGGGGTGGTGTCATCAGCATCACTCTCGGAGGAGCTGCCGGAACGTGTGCGGGTTTCGTTACGGCCGAAAACTTTTCGTTTACAAACTGGGCATACTCTCCGATTCTTGGTTAACCATGGATCAATGCATTTGCAGTGATATGCTGGTATATAAATGATAACATTGTATTTACAAAAATATAGAGATCTTACTGATATTGAAGGTTTAAAATGATGCATAATTTAGAATTTAAGGTCAATTAAATATATTGCCAGATATATATTTAATATTAAAGAGATTATAGTACTAAATAAAAACAATAATATTTGACTTACCATGAGAACAAGGCAGTATCCTCAATTTCTCCCCTTCAATATAATCATCTAAGCAAATAGCACAAGTTTCATATGCATCGCCTTTCGTAAATTTACATGTTGGAATTCTCTTAAGTGCACTAGAAGGTAATCTATGACGACGCAATCGTCTTCTTTCTCTTACACATTTTACTATCATAAATGCTACCATAATCAAAAAACACAAACCAACCACTATTGCAAATGGAAGCAATAAGTGTGTGTTAATGTTAAATGGCAAGTCAGAATTTATGATAAGAAAATAGTTCTCCTCATATTCATAATTGTAAATTATGATACGTCCTGTTTCTTCACCAACAAACACTGATGGGATCCGGATTCCTACTGGATTCTTAGCCGACATTGGCTCTGTATTAACATAGCATATGTAATATTATCAATAATCATTCAGTAAAAGCCCATGAATGATTTAACAGAATTTAAATTAATATAAATTTATATATTAAATCTTTAGCTAGATAGTCACAAGGTTTTAAGAATATAATTATATAACCAATACACTTTGTAGTATTTCATATATAATATTTTATAAATTAATATAATAATTTTAAAAGTATCACGCATGAGCTCTTTTATATTTCATTATTTTATAATATGATGATAATTACCTAAATCACTGCTATTAATATTATAAACAATTACAGCATCGTAATTTGCATTCTGAGCATTTCTCACCTTATCTTCAAATGAACAATTATATCTAAAAAACAAAATTATTATTAAAGAAAATAATCTAGTATTCAATGTACATTTGGACATAAAAGAAGTATCTTTCATATTGCAAGTGGATAATACATTTTTTGAAACTAGCATATTATATTTCTATTCATCTTAAAATTAAATATATAATTAATTAAATTGTGTCTAGATTATCCAAATATTCTACTTCACATTTACCTTGCTACTAATACTATCCACTTTCCAGTAAAATTATCAGTTACATTTGGAGGCCTACGCATTGGAGAGCACCCATCTGCTGGACTAGCGTGGGTTGCAAAGCCTCTCAAGCCATTTGTGGGAAGACTATCCCCAAAGTGAGCAGGCATACAACGAAACTCTTCAACAATCTTGAAATTGAAATAAGTTGATAAGTTGGGTAAATATGATAAAGAAGTAGTGGGAATATGTAACTAACTTTTAACAGTATTCGAGAAGCTTGATAATAAAAAAATTATGAATCATTACATGCACATAATGTAATTGGATTGCTATACAATTACAATAAATATTTAAAATTTATAATTTGTATATAAAACAATGAAGTATAAAACAAAACAATGTCACTTACAATTCAGAACCTTTCTATCGAAATAAGAACAAAAACCTTGTTTTACAGCATAATTTTGAGGGTTACTTATATAAGTTTTATATATATATATATATATATATATATATATATTATATAAGCATATAAAGATTAATATTTGACTAAGAATATAACATCTGAAAATCATTTTGCATCTATGTGAAAAATTGTAAACATATTTCATAGAAAATACATGGAATTTGTAGAAGAGCTTCTCATACACCTTTATGAGCAATCTAAATTATATATCGACATAGACTATGTATATATTTTTTATTTTCATTTATATAAATAATACTTGAACGACAGAAAGTTAAGATGAATACTACATGCTCAAGAATTTGTAAGTATATTATAGAATCTCTACGACTCTTTGAAACTACTGGTAATTTAATCGTAATAAATATTTTCTACGTACCTGGTGCAATGGCTTTTGCGTGTAAACAAGCACATCCATATGCACATATCCAAAACATAGTAACAATAAAACACACTGTTTTATAGCCATCATAGACTAATGCTAAGTAGGTCCACTAATATAATTTTGATATTAAAGTATCATTTGAAATTTCGAAGTCATTTATAATATAATAATTTGGTCCATCAGACTATAACTTGGAGCAAAAATCTATATAAATGCGCCCAACACGAGACGCATTTTTGGTCACCTGTGGTAAAATAGGTCTCATATGATTATAAATTATTTTGAATTGATTAAATGGGGATTATAATTATGAACTATATTACTAAAACCAGCAAATACGTGAGTTATAGAGTTGATAAGCACTTGTGTTATTATTAATAAATGCTTTTGACAGCTACATTATGACACTTCGTTCAATTAATTGGTTGATTGACTATATTGGATATAAAATATATTTAGATAATATATTTAAGTATGAAGGCAAAATAAATAATTTTCTATCTTGGTCTGTAACGTGAATAATCAATTAATATCATAAATCAACCAACATAGAAGAATATGTCCAAAGTATGAGTTGCACTATAGCAAAAATATGCGCAATATGACATTATATAAACTCGATTATTTTTGATCGCACTTTAGTATTTCTGTACATATTTAAAACGTTTTAATATCACATATTCTGTACACAGTCACAATATTCGATCAAAATTTTCTCAGATACGTACATGCTAAATTTACGACAAAAACAAGAAACACACAAGGTCGGTAATCAAAACAGTGTTGCCAGCAGAAATAAAAGATATTGCACGCGGAATGTCAAACTTTAGCGGATTATTCAAATTTCATAATTGTTAATAATTGTGATCTCATAAATAGCCATTTATATTAATATTATTAATATTGTTATATTATATTATATTATTATTATTAATATTATTATTATTATATTATCATTATTATCTTACTATTTCTAATATTGTTATTTTGTTATATTTATTATTATTTGTCACTTATTGTTTTTCTAGTATTATTTTTATTATTCACTTATTTTATTTATTAATTTTATTATTATTATTATTTGCTTTTATTTTATATTAAATCATCATATTACGGATATCATTTTATTGAAAATGCTATCCTTTATTTTGTACTCTATTTTGTTTATATTTATATTATTGTTAATTAATGTTACTAGATGTTATATTATTTAGCAGTTGTAACAGATATTGTAATTAAAAAAAAAATAATAATTGTAAAATTAACTAATATAAATTTGTCCATGAATATTTTTTTAATAAATATATATTTCATAGAAAAACAAAAATATTAATAATAGTAATAAAAAAGCACTTAAAATTTTGTATTCTAATATAACAGTGTTTTTTATTACTATTATAATTATTGTTGTTTTTCTATGAAATTTCTTACATAATATTTGTTTAGTTCTAATTGTTATAGTCATATTGATTGCCACTGAATGAAGGCTAAGATGCTAGCCAAAACGTATAGATTTAAAATAAATTTCTCAAAATTCTCGTACTATACAAATATATACCTAAGGTGTCTGATCATATTTTCTGAAGCCCCTTCATCTCTTATTTATTTTAGTTGTAATGTTACAAAAAATGGTATTATTAAATTTGCTTTTATCCTTTCAAACCTCTAATTTGTAATTTAGTTACACTTCTTATTACCACTATTTATTGTATTGCAACAAGAAGAATTATCGTGTTTTTCAAATTTTATTAACTATAATTTCATTTTTAATAAAATAAATATGAAAGTATTCATTTCTGTGAATAAGTAAATAATACTAATTATTATAACAATTTATTTTGTGTTATTAAATTAATTAACTATTTTAAATATTTATTTAAACCATTATACATATATGTTGCTATAGTATGGATGATATGTAGCGAAGAGCGTGAGAAAGATTAAAACTGCACCGGGGTCAGAGTTTATTGTCGTATTTTTTTTAATTTATCACAAAAGATTATATCATATTTGTAAATATTATTTTGACAATTAAAAAAACAAAATTTATGCTATAATAAAACTTTCATACAACTTAAGATAAATAAATTCTAGTTGAAATTGAAATATATGTACTGGACTATTTATTTATGTATTTATTTATTGATTATTTATAAGAACTATACTTCCATACATGTTAAGATAAATAAATTCGAACAAACTAGTTGCAATTGAAATACATGTACTACATCAATTATGATCAATGAAAAACTTGTGAAATTTGCTACTAAAAGACACTATAAAATATTAAAATCCAATGGGCCACATATTGAATTAACAAAAATAATTTCAATTCCTGGTCTGTAACTGATATAATTTAATATTAATGTTAATTTGTAATCCTTTGCTGATTGATAATAGAGTAATAAATTTTATTTCTTAAATATAGTTTTATAATAATATAATTTTAATTTTTGGTCAATATTCATACTCTAACTTGAATTTTTAGCCCCATACATAGACCTTATAATACTCTATTATAAGATCTATAGCCATATCATATATATTATTGAAAATATTTAACAAATTTATAAAAAATTTGCAAATAGCGTTCAAAGTTAATACAACATTACTATTGTTACTGAAATGTATTTATTGCTTATCGAATATTGTAATTTTTTATAAAATTATTTTATATCTTACATTGAGAAACTGTGATGCTAATCATAAGTACAATATGCACTATAAAAAATATGTACAACTTTTAAAAATAATATTTACAGCCTTTTTTAAAGCTTACTATAATACGATTCATGGACGACGCATGATTTATTTATATCACCAACAGTTCTGCAACCTGAAACAAAAGATATGCAAATTAAATTCACAATAATATTTACCAATTGTGCAGCCAATGATAGGCAAATGCATTTGTGTTTCAAAATATCACATATGTTCTATGATATGGTATTAAATACCATATGTACAACAACTGTTGTATTGAATTTCATATGTGTTGTTAAAGTATATGAAGTCAAAAGAAGATATATATGAGACAACATAAGTTGAGTTACATAATTGCAACATATGTTTATTTGCAACTTTTTTTATTTAGTCTCCAAGGAGAAGTTCAGGAGTCATTCTGAATCGTCTGAGACCAAATATTTAATATATCGAGAGGAAACTGGATTTGGGTTGATTAGTTTTCCAAGACGATGGGCCTTTAGGATTTGTAGAACAGTAGAAAATTCAAATCCTGTCATAAAATAAAAATAGAAAATTCAAATCCTGAAGTAAAAGGTTGAAAATTTTATCTAAAGAACTATATTTTTATTTTTTTGAAGTCGATTATCTACATGTATCAGAAGTTTCAAGCAACTTCCTTTAGACAAATACCAATTAAACCTAGTTTCATTATGATTCGTTCTACATTTTCCTTTCTAAATAAAAAATAGAGTCTAATGATCAGACTAAGGAATTATTTATTGTTTATAGGTATGAATTATTTATTGTTTATAGGTAGGAATAATTTATTGTTTATAGGTAGGAACAATTTATTGTTTATACATATGTATTTATTAATGGCTCTTGTTATAATTCCACTTAAATTTTATATGCATGCTCTCTAGTAATTATATTAATCAATTTATAAACAATATAAATATGTGATAAGTTTATGCAACAATCATTTACAAATCCAGAACAGTTAGTATACAAAGCTAATAATGACAAGTGCAGTGGTTTTCTGTTTATTATTTTGTGTATTACCAACAAGTATGTTAATTATATTTTATCAAAAAATTAAATTAATTCCTTAAATACATGTTTCCTCATTAATTATTATTAATGAGGAAACATGTAAGAATTGTATATATTTTTTTAGATGTTAAAACGGTTATGTTTCAGTTTATTGTAAATATTTTATTGAGCTCATTTAAAGATAAGTACGTCATACTTATTTGTAAATAAATCTTTGTACCGACTAGAAATCTATGAGAAGTCAAATATTTACCAAAGGCATTTACATGCATTGCAAAAGAAAATAATTTTGAATATTGTTTCAGAATATTTTAAGATTTTTAAAATATAAATTTGGGATTGGGCATTACATCAATGGGTAGTTGATAAATGGTAGGAAGGGTAGGAATCAATGGTAGGTAAAAAATTGAGGGCACATTTTCGGTAATTTTTAATGATATCTACCGATTCATTTCAGCAATTCATGCAATATGACAATAGTAAAAACCTTTTACCTCAAATGGCATAAAATACGTGAAAGTACTATTAGCAACCTGTTGGTTTACAAAAAATGCTTTACCAGCTAGATTAGTCATTTCTAAACCGTTTTTCTTCATATGACACGAAATTCGTGAAAGTATTTTCAACAATTCAACATAGATTAATCTACCTCGACTGTTTACTTCATTCAATTAACACATAACCAAATCATTTACATTAAAACACATTTTCATTTGAATAGATTACGTCAGAATAGTACTATGTACGACCTTGCAAAACATCTTCATAGTTAAATTACATCGCATGTATACATGACTACAAATGGAAGAGTGGAAAATATTCAACCCATTTGGATGAATAAATTTCAATCATCTCATATGGAAAATATAGGCAGAGAAAAAAAATTATCTAGGGTTTGACTTATGGACAATGGATAAAATTGTTAAATTGCCATTATTTATTTGTTGCACTCATGAAAATCCTTCCAAACTTTAGCTAGAGATCAAGTTGTTCAATTTATTATTCATTACTTATAAAAAAAACTTATACAATCGTTGCCTTGTTCAACTTGGCAACGATTGTATAAGTTTTTTTTATGAGTAATGAATGATGCCCAATACTTCATATAAAATGGTATATATAGGGCTGCATTTGAATATGCAACCTTGTAGTTGCCAGACCCAGATATTTACCAACTTCAATTATGTATTTCCATACTATTCCAATATTCTATTAGTAATTAATCTAATATTTTTACATAATTCCAGGTTTGGGCTCAGATGAGAAATTAGATTCACCAGACGATACTTGCCCATCCGACCACCAATACATATATCATGGTGGCAAAGAAGGAACAGTAAACTTAGACTGTGGATTTCAGGTGATTAATACCAGAATCTCTTTTATATTTTATTTTAATTAATATATTAATATACGACCGACATTCATATACGTACTACAATCATTCCAATCGACATTTGTCATCACTTAAAATGAATCATAATAGGAAATATTAATCGGTTAAAATTGTTTCTCATGAATAAACAATTTACTTATGATATACGCAATAATCATACGAATTGTACTAAATCATTTGCTATAGGTATACCGTATACATATTTTGATTAAATTCCAAATTTTTACAAAAAACATTTTTTTATGACTCTTAAAATAAATAAAAATTTTCTTTTATGAACACTTATGGAAGAGCTAAATTTACCATTTGCAAAAACTTACAGGTGGAAATCTGATTCACAAAATACAAATATCCGTACAGAACCAATATAGGCATTTTAGATAAAACATGATATCAGCATGTGCAGTTTACATTTGGAATTCTAGTCATTCTGTATTAGTATAAATAAACTATATCGCATATGTTAAATATGTATGTTCAGGTTCAATAAATAGAGAAACTGGTGCATATTTATATGAATATAACACCTCAAATACCGCAAACAAATTATTGAAATGTTTATGCATTATATCATATGTACTGCATACAAATTATTATTATGC